ACGAAATGAAATTGTTGACATTCTCATGATCCTTGGCGAGTATCGTGGTAATTACCGACCAGCAGCACGATTGTATCGTGAGCGCTTCCAGGGCAGAGATCATCACCCAAATGACAGACCCTCCGAACCCAACAACTTTTGTTGGGTTATTGGATTGGTGGCTCCCCGACAAGATATGTATTCAGGTGTGTAATTTCAAATATTTTGTCCTTGAAATAACCTCTGAAGGTCATTCAAAAGAAGAGTCTCAAGTACCCATCTAAACGTAAAATTTTGCGCTCTTTTCGAATCCGGGGTAAAAAATAGGAGTTTTTATTTAAAAATTCGATTTGATCTTCAAATAACCTTGAAGGTCAAGGTCAAGGTGAAATTGAAAATCACCATCCAATGTCCCCCTCCGAACCCAACAACTTTTTGTGAGGGTTATTTTCGGATTGGTGGCTCTCCTGACGAGATATTCAGGTGCGTAATTTAAAATGGGACCCTGTATATGAGGCATTCTTTGTCAAACGGGCCATCTTTTACCTAAAATCATATAGATTGATGTTATTTCATAGCTAAAATTGTAAATAAAGATGTCTATTTTGATTTGCTATCTGGCCTTTTTGAAAAATCGACATGGTGCGCCTAATATGGCGGATGGCGGTAATGAAACACAATTTTGAAAATCTGTAAGGTTTGGTAATACATTCTAAAGTCATTTATTTTTTCAGAGAATAAGTTTATCAATGGTTCTTGGGTTGGTGATTACGAATTTGAAGTTAGATATTTAAGATTCAAAATGGCATATCAAAATATTGGAAATTTTAAATTTCCTTAAAATTAGTGTATAGGGTTTTTAGAGTCGCTGATTACGAATCCGATATAAAAATTTTAAAACAAAAGATGACGGATCCAATATGGCGGACCGAAATTTTAAAACATTTTTTATTTTCATGAGAATTGATATATACGAGTTTTTAGGATCATTGAGAGTTTGCTGTGAGATTTAAAAAATTCAAAATGGTAGATCCAATATGGATCAAATTTTGAGCTAATTTTGTAAATATTTCAAAACCGCCATATTGGATCCATTATTTTCAATTTTGAAAATCTGACAGTGGAGTTGCAATTACTGATCCAAAGAAACTTTTATATATTAATTTTCATAAAAATATAAAATTTTTCAATTCTTCAATCCGCCATATTGTATTTGCCATTTTAAATTTTGTAAATCTAACAGCGGATTAATAATTAAGTATAGTTAATTTGTAATTAATTATCAAATTATGATTAATCAAATTATAGGTATTTCTTCAAGAAAAATTCGTGTAAAAATAAAAAATTATTCGTATGTATGTGAAGGTTGATATTTCGAGGATTTTTGTATCGTTGATTACGCAACCGCTGTCAGTTTTTTAAAACTCAAAATGACGGATACAATACGGCGGAGTGAAGAATTAAAAAATTTCTATTCTCATGGAAAATGATATGTAAAGGTTTCTTTGGATCGGTGATTGCGAATCCACTGATCAGCTTTTAAAAATTTTAAATGATGGATCCAATATGGCTGTTTTGAAATATTTACAAAATTTTCGACCGCTACATTAGATCTACAGGGTGAGTCATTTTAGTCTATGGATCCGAATATCTTCCAAATTACGGTATCTACAAAAAAATGGTTTAGATAAAAGTTGACCAGGACAGAGGGGGTCATTCAATTGTACCATTGGTTTTGACCTTGAGGTCAATTTTGAAGGTTACTTCAAGGTCACGATGGTTTTTTCTAATGGGACACCCTATTTTTGACTGCGGATTTCGAAAGAGCGGAAAATTTTACATCAAACTTGTCTTATGGAAAAATTGTTTTTACGAAATTGGAAAGGTCAAAAATGAAGGTGAAATGTCTGAAAAACGATCTGGTGTACTTTTTCTGAAATGACGTGGTTTTCTGGGTAACACAAATGTGCATAATGCTTAAACAAAGTCAATGAATTGTAAAAGTGTAAATCACTTTAACTAGCTTGACCTTGAGGTCAATTTTCAAGGTTGTTTGAGGCTCATAACGCATTTTTTGATCAGTAAACCCTATTTTTGACCGCAGAACCTGTTTCTTGACAATGGGCTCTTAAACAATGGCACTTTTTACATGAGCATAGGGATTTTTTAGTTTTTCGACCTGACCTTTTGAAGGTCATATCAAGGTCATATCAAGGATAAATGGAAATCCATTTCTACTACGGGAGAAGCGGACGTAAGGTATCCGATACCTAATGCTAATAATCAACGATTGAAAAAAACTAAACAATTACGTTTGATTTAAGATTTATAATTATTGTTATAATAATAGAGTTTTATTCCTTTTCTTTCTTACTCACTTCTGCATAATTGAAAAATTTACTATTTAAAGTTGCTTAAATTTAAAAATTCCAAACATACATACAGGGTATGTAGGTAATTACATTCACAAGTTACCTTTCCAGAATGGCTGATTATAGTCCTAATGAGATTGTTGATATTATATTAGTTTTAGTCAAGCTAGTTAAAGTGATTTACACTTTTACAATTCATTGACTTTGTTTAAGCATTATGCACATTTGTGTTACCCAGAAAACCACGTCATTTCAGAAAAAGTACACCAGATCGTTTTTCAGACATTTCACCTTCATTTTTGACCTTTCCAAGGTCGCAAAAACAATTTTTTCATAAGACAAGTTTGATGTAAAATTTTCCGCTCTTTCGAAATCCGCAGTCAAAAATAGGGTGTCCCATTAGAAAAAACCATCGTGACCTTGAAGTAACCTTCAAAATTGACCTCAAGGTCAAAACCAATGGTACAATTGAATGACCCCCTCTGTCCTGGTCAACTTTTATCTAAACCATTTTTTTGTAGATACCATAATTTGGAAGATATTCGGATCCATACACTAAAATGACTCACCCTGTATATTGGATAGGATCGCGAGCAATTTTCTTCGCCGGCCGCGGCGAGCTGCTGTCCCGCCTGCCGCGTCGCACGCTCTGATTTTCCTAACTATTGTAATTAATATCTGGAAATTTTATGTGGTTGTTTGAAAAATGATCTCTACAATATTTGTTCATTTTTATCTGTTCTACTTATATTTTTCTTCTTGGACGTCTTATGCGGGATACCTTATATACAGAGTTGAATGCCCTAGGTAAAAATCTCGAAAAATATGGAAGATATAGAGAAATGTTTCAGACAAAAGTTATATGGTTCGATGGAGGACATAAGAAGGTACCACTGGTTTGACCTTGCGTAGCGCCGCCAAAGTTAGGTTGAGGTTAACTTTGTTTTTTTAAATAGAAATATATTTTTTATTACGGAATTTTATTTTACTAAAAAATAAACAACTTTTGTTAGAGAACATTTTTTATACGACCTCTATTTTCTAAGATATTTACAAAATATTTACAAAATTATTGGTTTAAATTATTTTTTACTCGAATTCTATCAACTTTACCAAAAAATAGCAAGAGATAAAAATTGTTTATTTTCTTCTCATAGAGCTCTGAGAATTTTTTCAGAATTTTTTAATCAACTTCTTAGTTTACTGCATTTCCTTGAAAAAGTTTATAAAAAATTCTGAAAAAATCATACAAAATTAACTTAACATTTTGAGGATCTGCAAGTGTTAAATACACAGGGACAATAATTTGTGTCCCCATTTCCGAAAGTGTTAAAGAATTGTGAAAAATAAACTATGACAGTAATACGTAAAATAAACAGTTATACGTTATGACACATAAACGAAGTATTAAAGAAAACATCAAAGCAGAAACATACAATATAACATACAAGCTAAATTATAGAAACGAACGAAAAACAAAAACATTAACTTTCTTTGCATAGATATAAAAAATCACGAGCAAAATATGCAAAATATTGAATAAACGTAACATGAAAATCATCAATTACAATACTGTAATAGAAACCTCCAACAAAAGTAAATTTCTTAATAATTCTATAGATAAGCCAATAAGGATACTAGGAATTTTTTTTACAAAATCCCTTTTTTGTAAAGTCTACAATAGTGAAGTTGAGAAGGTGATAAATACATCAAGAAGAGGATATTAAACTGCAGTCTAATTGAAACGCACAACACAATCAATATTAAGTAGAGACTGAATACAAAATATTATTTGACCAAACATCTGTGATGGCTAATACTGTAAAATTGTGTTCTAAAAAACAGAGAATTCTTGAAAATATATTAACATCTCAATAACTTTTACAGAAATGAAAGATAAAGAAACCTACTAATAATTTGGTTTTACTCATCTTTCCTATTAAAAATTTTACTAAATTAAATTTTTCCTTACTTTTCCTTTTTCGTTCTTTTACCTTTTTTCCCCATTTTGATTAGACTTACCATTAACGTAATATACCTCCTACATTTTTAGCCTATCTTTTCTCATAATTCTGTTACACAGATTTTATATTATTATTTATTAACCCTTTGGAGACGAGTGTCGGCATATAGCCGCCCAAGCCGTTTTACCGTTCCGGACGCGTGTCGGCATATAGCCGCCCAAATTAGTTCGTAGCTGCAAGGCTCGCGACGTCTGTCGTTCTGAGCGATAAGATACGCATAGGTATAGTAAAAGAGTCACGTTTTCATTCAAAGACATTAGGGGCCATTAGCGATGAAGTCTTATCTTCCTTATAGCCCGTCGAGCGGCTCCGTCCCCAAAGGGTTAATTATTGTACTACTAGGAAAATTTTCATGGAATATTTTACATATCTATCTGATTAATTATATTATAATTAATTTGATTGATTTTATTTTCTCAATATATCTTATTTTAACATATTTTATAAAAATTTTGTGTGTTTTCTTGCTTTTGATATTATTAATCAAGGTAATCGCGGCAAGGAAATGGAAGTTTTCAGTCTTGGAATTATATTACTAGTTTCTACTTTAAGACTTAAAATCGAAAATATCTCTTACCATTTTTTTAAGAAATCATAAAATCTTATAACATTTTTCTACTTATAGGTTTCCAAATGTTACAAAAGCTTGGATGGAGTGAAGGACAAGGTTTGGGTAGCGAAGGTAGCGGCCGTATTGAACCAGTTAACAAGTAAGTTGTTATATATCCAGAGTGTCTTATTCAATTTGTGCAATTTAGATGTCCGTATGCGCTTGTATATAGAATTTTTATTAAATTTAATAAAAAAATTCTCTTTTTGTAAACTAGTACTTATTGAAATATAAATAAAAAAAAGTTTGCGATGTGTTACGATGAGTTCTATAGGCAGTCTAAAAGAACATATCTTAGGCTTGTTGATTGTTTAACGATATTAATCGTACGTTAGTAACGATAGAAATCGGATAATAATAAAAGGCGAAATAACATTAAGAATAGCGAGTGGTGATTTTGGGTCGCATAGTATTTGTTGTTGCAAAGATGTTAGGAAATAAATCCAAAACGTATTTGTTCAGACTGTCTTACAGAACTAGTTTCACTACATTGTGTAATTAAACAATTTTTTTTTATTAATATCTCATTAATTACTGTAGTAGTTTACAAAATGATAGAGGATTTTTCTATTTAGTTTAATGAGCAGTGATGTGAGTGGTCTCTGATTTTCGCGCATGTGACCATTATGACATCAAGAAAGTAACTATAACGAAAAGAATAAGAACCATTACTGGATTCTGTTAAATTCTTCTGTCAAAAAACTTTTAGAAAATATAAAGAAAATCTGAAACATACATTTAAATAATTGTTTTGATTGTAATGAGGTATAAAGTAATATATTACACTTATTAATTTTTGTAATATATTAGAATAAAAAAGGGAGATAAATGTGAAGTAATTTTATAAATAAAAAATTTTATTTATTTACGAAAAGAAAAATATTTTATTAGGCGTTTAACTGATACCAACATTTGTTGCATGATAAATATAATATACTTACCTACTTATCCTATCTTAATCTAACCTCTTCTCCCATTTGCCAGCTGGATCCTTAGCATATAAAACTGGATCCCGCCAAGACTAACGATTATGGTACGTTACTGGAATTCCTATCATTTTGCTGCGTATGCACGAAAATTGGAGCTCATCTCACTAGACACTTAACTAATTTTACTTGCACATAAGCGCTCGGACACATATATTCGGACCATATACTATATTATTTTTAATATTAAGTCCTTTCCAAACATTTTCAAGCCCTTAATTAGTAAATATAATTTCAGAGCAACAAATAGACTGGATAGTGCAGGTTTAGGATCTGAAAGACCAGATGGTGTATCCAGGGACGATGATGAATTTGACGCGTATAGGAAAAGAATGATGCTCGCATATAGATTTAGGCCTAATCCATTAGTAAGTATCATAATTATTAGAAAAATAATTAGTAATAACGTTCAGACAGAGATATTCAAATGTTTATCTCGATTATTTCTTTTCTCTTTTTAGAATAACCCAAGAAGACCTTATTACTAAAACAGTTAATGATGCCAGAAAATTTTATTACCTTAAACATGTTCTTTCTATTATATGATCTAGTAGATTGTCTTTATTTTGTATATTTGAAAAATTGTACATTTCATTTTAAAATATATTTCTTATAAAGTTTCCGCTTTTTTCTGAACCATACTGTCAAAATATGGTTTTGACGAAATTTAATGTATTTGCGAATAAAATTAGTGATATATTAATTATATAAACAAATTTATATATAAGCATAATTTATGTCATTTTTTTCTTTTTTACAATAATAGAGTATCTCTTTTATTGGCTAAGAATTCTTCAATGAATACAAAAAAATCGTCTTTTTTACAACAATTGTATTGTTATTTTTATTTATATTTATACTATACTGTTATTATATTGTATTGTTATTGTAACAGTATTATCACGGTAAATATCAGATAAAGACGATCTCTTTAAAAGTCAATAGTCCTCATTCTGAATACTTTTTTATCGATAAAAGTGATAATAGAAATGTTCTTCACCAAATCTATGACTGTATTATGCTTGTAACAAAGTAGATAGTGGGAAAAGAAGCTAAGATATCTTCTAGAGAAAGTTAACTTAAAATACCAATCAAATTGCAAAGAGTCATTTCTCACAATTATAGTAACATAAATTTATCGAGGATGTGAAAGGAGATGGATGAAGTGTGAGAGTGACTAGATTAGAGTTAATTTGTATCGAAAGAATAAACGTCTCGGATCGTTAAAATTATTCAGTGGATAAAAAAGATTTGGTCGATTTGCGTTATTGAGAGTAAACCTTTCTCTCGTGACGAACTTACGCTGTATAGTATTAGGAGATTTTAGTATTTGGCGGGATTCCCTGGTAAAAAAAAATTTATAGAGAACGATAAAATAAAATTCTATCATTCTATCATTTTCTATCATTTTGAACATGGATTTTGGTTCGTGAATTCACAAATGTGAAATATTGTATTGTATACAATAGAATACAAAAAATAGTGATAGAAATTCTATCGTCAGTTTCCTATATAATACAAATAGACCTATATAATACAAATAAACCCGATTCTTACAGAACCAAATAAGATACGATAGGATTTATATCTGATGCTCGCGAATGCTGACGCTTGCGAACGTTAGAGTTTATAGAAAACAATACAAATTGGTAGAAATTCTATCGTTCTCAATCGTTTTCTATCAACTTTTTTACCAGGGTTTTGTTCCAGTGCTAAATAAGAGCTGTTTTCACGGATACGTCTTGTAGTGTATTTTATGTAAACGCTATGTACAGGGCCGTCGAGATAAATCCGGAAATTTAACTTGTTTATTTATAGCGACGATGTCAGCGCCGATTTTGAATGTATATCGCGTTTGTGGCATGCCACGACAAGGTCATTCAAGAGATAATCACCGAACAATTAACAACCAAATTGATAAACCGAGAATATGAGCGGAGGGCAGTAATACTTGAAACGCTTCACGCCGGCAAATCGCTTACGAAAATAATCGCATGGTTTGGCTACAAAAAGACACAAGTTTATGCCATAGCCAAGAAGTTCAAAGAGTCCGACAACAAGAAGAAGGTTACTGCTGACCGGTAATACACAGAAAGAGATTTGATGACGTCATAGTGCTCCATTTCTTCGAGAAGGGTCTGAAGGTGAACGGCGATGGTTACATCAACGTGCTAGAAATAGTTATAAAGTCCTGGATGGATGAGATAGCCGTTGGAAGAGAATATGTGTTCCAGTAGGACTCGACATCAGCTCACAAGACAAGGAAAATCCAGGCTTGGTTTTACAACAATTTGTCCTACCACTGGTCCCCCGACTTATGGTCTCCCTCTAATCCTGGCTGCAACCCCTTTGACTGTTACGTGTGGGGCCTAGTCGAGGCAAAGGTCAATGCAAAGCATCACAATACCAAAGATGCTCTGAAGTCCTCCATCATGGAGGTGATGACACATATGGACAAGGAGGAGGTCAAGTATGCCTACAGTCGGTATAGATTTAGGCTCGAGAAGGTCGGTGAAGCTGATGGAGGCTACATTGCATAATTTCATTCTTTTATATTCCTTGATACTTTGTACCACATTACATACGAATATATTGATATTTTCTCTGTATTGTGACGATCCGGGAGAACGTCACGACAATCAAAAAGAATATTTACAAAACTAACAAAGAAACGCCGAACAACCGCGCGCGGGATAACCGCAAGGTCAACAAACAGTCGCACTGTTTGTTATAATTCAGTATAAAAGGCCGTTACAAAATTGATATAGAGAGATTGATCGGAAGGCTCCTCTCAGGCGCACGACCGACCAGAACTCAAAACTCCTAGAGATCCTAGGCATCCCGTCGACCGAAGTGGATACGCTACGTCAACATCCTCTCTCCGATACCGCTCTACCGACCGAAGTGGATACGCGACGTCGGTTTCCTATCCATACACCGCTCTGTCGACCACAGTGGAGACGCGACGTCGAAATCCTTTCCTCGATACCGCTCCACCGACCGAAGTGGATACGCGACGTCGGTTTCCTATCCATACCCCGCTCTGTCGACCGAAGTGGATACGCGACGTCGACATCCTTTCCTCGATACCGCTCTACCGACCGAAGTGGATACGCGACGTCGGTTTCCTATCCATACACCGCTCTGTCGACCAAAGTGGATACGCGACGTCGACATCCTTTCCTCGATACCGCTCTACCGACCGAAGTGGATACGCGACGTCGGTTTCCTATCCATACACCGCTCTGTCGACCGAAGTGGATACGCGACGTCGACATCCTTTCCCCGATACCGCTCTACCGACCGAAGTGGATACGCGACGTCGGTTTCCTATCCATACACCGCTCTGTCGACCAAAGTGGATACGCGACGTCGACATCCTTTCTCCGATACCGCTCTACCGACCGAAGTGGATACGCGACGTCGGTTTCCTATCCATACACCGCTCTGTCGACCGAAGTGGATACGCGACGTCGACATCCTTTCCCCGATACCGCTCTACCGACCGAAGTGGATACGCGACGTCGGTTTCCTATCTGTACCTCGCTCCGTCGACCGAAGTGGATACGCGACGTCGGCATCCTTTTCCTCCTCACGCTACGCCGCTAACACCTACGATCGCGAACGCATACAGGGCGTAAGATAACGGTGACAACGAGCGCCTTTAAACCAGCAAGGAAAGACCAGGATAAATAAACAGATTAAAGCCGATGAGGCAACGAACTCCGAACGACGAACAATAGTGTATCCGGAAACAATTCCGACCGCGTCCCGCCTGACGCTCGCGCGCCTCGACGCTCGCAGCTGATCGCGAGACGACAACAACGGCTCCCGACGAGAGCAAAAACGCGACCACGCGCGTTACGGCGTAACGTCGCCTGTAAATAATTGTAAATAGCTTCGAAATTAGAATATAGTTCCACATTATTATCACCTATACCACTGGTTTTCATTTCACACACGAAACCCGGACCACACCGGCTAAGACTATCCCGCACGTAACGCAAGGCCGTTACAGTATTTTAATCGTGTTTTATTTACATGGTGTCTTTTTGGATTTACCTCGACGGCCCTGTATACCGCCGTGGTAAAACCAGTAATATGATTTCGAGTTCGTGCACGCTAGCGTTTTTCCTTCTCTTCTTACGCACACAGTTACGCTTTGTCTATGGCCGCGTTCCGTTTCACGCATATGCGTGTATTTATATATAGTTTATGTAATATATATTCTAAATGCTCGCATAAAACGGAACGCAGCTTATCCGTGCACTATCGTGCGCTCGGCTAACAAGCATACCTGAAAACTCAGGTTTTAATGAAAGTTTGCACAAATCTAGGTTAGGTAAATGGATGAATTTAGATAATTTTAGTTAGTGCTAAAAAACAATTTAAAGGATGAAATCCTTCAAAGATATAGAAATTTTCGGTTTTTTCAATATATTTCGTAAATTAAATGAAATATCAAAAAATGTTTTATACAAAAGTTTTATAGAAAAATTTTCTCTATTTAACTACGCATTCATTTTTCGAAAGAAAAAAGATTTTAAAAAATTCACGCTTTGTAACTCTATGCCTTTGACTATGTCATTAATAGTCAAAGAGGTTACAGCCGGGATTAGAGGGAGGCCATAAGTCGGGGGACCAGTGGTAGGGCAAATTGTTGTAAAACCAGGCCTGGATTTTCCTTGTCTTGTAAGCTGATGCTGAGTCCTACTGGAACACTTTCTTTTCCAACGGCTATCTCATCCATCCAGGACTTTATAACCGTCTTTAGCACGTTGATGTAACCGTCGCCGTTCACCTTCAGACCCTTCTGGAAGAAATGGGGCACTATGATGTCATCAAATCTCTTTTTGTGTATTACCCGGTCAGCAGTAACCTTCTTCTTGTTGTCAAACTCTGAACTTTTTGGCTATGGCATAAATCCTCTATGTAACACATTATCGTGTTAAAATTTTGATTTTAATAAAACTTGACATAAATATAGGATTTTATTAGCACGAATTAGTACAAAGTAAAGATAGATAACTTTGAAAAACGCCGGCCGAAGAAAATGTATAGTATATTTAAATTCTCAATAACAACAACTTATAAGTGTTTAATATTGCGAGGAATGCTGTCGAAGCTTCGGTGGCCGAATAGATACGGCGTCCCGCTCGGCAAGTGGGGAAATCCAGCTTCATCTTTTAGCTAAGGCAATATTTTTCACAACATAAAGAATAATTAACGCGCATCGGGAATATTAGATAAATAAGGAGCATATTTAGAAGTCACAAAAATTGGGGGATTAAGGGGGATTATGTAAGGGGTTGGTTTGTTAGTGGAAAGTATGATTCTTTGCGTGCATTAATAAAAAACCGTAAATCCCATTTGGCGTGTACATATACACTACAAACATTATTATCCTTTCCCATTACATAACATTTGCATGAATATCAGCATTTAGCTCTTATAAAAAGATGATGCCAACTGCAAAATCGATTTCGGAACGAGGCATTCCATAGCCATAATATAGAATATCAAAACTAGGGATATGCCGGATACTGAATTTGCCGGATACCGGATACCGGATATCCGGTACTAATTTCTAAAGAAATTTCTATATTAACATTTGCACAAG